TAAAATGTCAGAACTGTCAACAATATCAATTATTAGCTGATGTTCATGCTAAAAAGGAATGTGTGAAACTGACTGTAATCTGACCAATTAGAAGGCTACAGAATTTCCAACTTAAATTCAAATCGCTCCTCTTAGTTTAACCCTTTGTCGTCTGGCGGTACTCAAAAGTACCACAATTTCAAATATCAATGAAATCGTAATGTAGTCGTTTAGAAGCATCATTGCCTGTCGGTATATTAAAGTACCAATAACCTTTCGCTGTGAGAACAGATTATTTGTAGATGTCGCTAAGGTAGTCAAGATATTTAGATTATTTGCGAACCTGCACAGTGTGAATTGTACCTTCGAGCGCTTAGCGTGTGTGTATTTTATTCCAGCAAAGATTGTGTTGAGGTAAGCGATTTTTTTGTTTAGATTGAATCTGTGTATGTTTCTCAATTAGTTTAGATAACAAATACGGCCCTAAAATAAATTATTGCTTAGAAATCAGGAATTAAATGTTTGGAACTTATAAGTACCGACAGGGTGTTACAGCATAAAATGGTAAAATATTATTTGACTGTTTACGGATTTTATGCAATGGTAAGTTATTTTTTTTTGTTTTCAGACAAAAATGGCTCGTAATTACGGAAATAAATATTTGACAGACACGGAACTTTTAATAGAGGCGGATAGAGCATTAGTTGAAATCGAACAGTACTGTAATATTGATTTAGATAATAACTTTCAAACAGATGAAGAGGACGATTATATCGAGAATAATGGTTCGCTTATGGTTGAAAACGACGAAGCTGAAATAATAATGAGAATGGAGACAGGAGTTGCGAAAAATATAAATGCAGAAAACCAAGACGAAATTATTGAAAATGAAGAGGGGATAGAAGATAATACTGAAATGAAAAACAGCGATAGTAAAAAAGCAAGAACATCTAAAAAAAGAAAGAGACTCAAGAAGAGATTAACAGAAAATGGAAGAAAAGAGAAGTAGAAACACAAGTACCTGAATATAATGATGATACAGGACCGGTCTTTGATCATTTTGCAGAATGCCAGACGGCAACAGATTATTTTTTAAAATTTATTGAGCCTCTTATTGACAACATTATATTTCAAAGTAATCTCTATGCTGTTCAGCGAAATAAATTGTACAAACTAAAACCAATGATTGAAACACTCAATTCAGTATTCAACTCTTACTACAAAGGAACAAGAGCATTGATTGTTGATGAATCAATGATTGCCTTCAAAGGCAGAAGTTCTATCAAACAATATAATCCAAAAAAGCCCATCAAGAGAGGATGGGCTATGGACAATAGCAGACCAGAAGGGTTATATTTTACAATTTGATGTATATACAGGAAAAACAGGAGATGAAATGAAAAAATCGGAAGTGCCATTAGGAGAAAAAGTTGTTTTGAAACTTACCAAAAACTATGTTGGTAAAAACAGGATGGTGTTTTTTGATAATTATTTTTCTTCTGTCCAATTAGTGGAAAAATTAAAAGCTGAAAAAACACTTGCGTGCGGTACAATTAGAAATGATAGAAGGGGTCTTCCAAAAAATTTAATCATAGACAAGAAGATGAAAAGAGGGGACTATGATTATCGATTTACTTCATCGGACATTGGGTTTTTCAAGTGGCAGGACAATAAAACAGTGACTTTAATTTCAAACTATCATGGTAGCGAAACAACCACCGTAAAACGAAAACAGAAGGACGGTACTTCACTAGAAATACCTTGTCCAACTGCTGTAAAAGATTATAATACATTTATGGGCGGAGTTGATCACGCTGATCAACTTAGAAGTGCATATGGATTGAATCGAAGGTCAAAGAAGTGGTGGCATAAATTGTTCTGGGGAATGTTAGATATATGTTTTGTAAATGCTTTTGTGATCCACTGCTCCAATCATGAAAGAATTCCTTTATTAGAATTTCGCCGTTCTGTTGCTTCAGGTTTGATGACACAAAAAGTCTTCCAATCAGTCGGGAGAAAACGACCTTTATCAGATCCATCATTAACACTCACTAAAAGAAGGAAGACCAACTTTTCCGTTTCAGCTGATATCCGTGTTACCAACAGGGGTGTCCATTGGCCAATATATGTTGAATCAAGGGGAAGGTGTGAAGTATGTGCTAAGCAAAAAATTCAGTCCAGACCACACTCCAAATGTAAAACTTGCAATGTTTTCTTATGTAGTAATGAAAAAAAAAAAAAATTGTTTTATTCAGTTTCATGAAATAAATATTTAGTTTTCACTATATAATTTTCTTTTTGACAATTATAAATAGTACCTAACTTCCTGACGGTACCCAAATGTACCACCTACCAAAACACAAAAAATACATTTTGAAAAATTTTGAAAAAAATCACATAGCCTATTTTACTCCAAATTTACAAGGAAAACCCTTTAATAGCTTGCTAAAACTTTTTTTTCTTCTGATGGTCAACAAAGGGTTAAAAACAGAGTATAGTAATCATTAAACCCACTACTTCCACGAGTAAGGCGCATCTATCCTAATACATGACCGAATCGTTCAACTAAATGAATATAATTATTTCATATCCATTCTAGGTAGTGAGGATCACTACAAAAAATGAAATCCACCAATCACAGTTCATATTTTGGTCACCCGACTACTACTATTTTTTTTAACTTTAATTAATTGACAATTCCGTCAAACTAATTGTCAGCATATTTTTAGTTATTGATATTAAATATATATTAAAATGAGTTATTTTATTGTAGAATCGATAAATACTTTTATTTCGTTAATTTTAATAATACTATTATATGAAACTAATTTAATTATAAGTATTAAAACTAAAATCCTAAATATGACGGTGGACGTGAGACACGACTTCTGTCTTCCACGCGAGAGTCCCGGATTCAAATTAGGGATGAGGACTAATTAAATTAAATCTTTAAATGTTTATTTTATTTTATAAATTAGTAAAAGTCATAAATTATTTTAAAATTAGTTATTTTTTCTTAATAACCTAAAATAATTTTTTAAATTTGTAAATTTTCGTTAGTGGGTCGTAGAAAAAATATATTGTACTTCTTGAGTGAATTGTTCATCCACTCTTGTTTCACAAACTACTATTTCATATAGTATAATCTTTTTGAAAGAAATTTTCCTCTTCTTATTAATTGTAAAACGTTATAGTATTAATTTAAAATTATATTGCAAGAGAGCGCAAATCGGTCGAACAAATAAAATAAGACAGGTATAATTTATTACGAAAATCGCAGAGCGCAAACTGGGGTAGAATTCTCGCATGAAAATTGTCACACACGGCAAATGTCGCATACCAAATTAGCATGGTTGTTAAAAATCGTATTCTCGAAAATAAGTGAATCTAAAATCACAAGCGAGAAATAATGCGAAGGATTGTATGTGGCAACGTAGGAAATTATGTCAACTATCAACATTACAGGGTGTTCTGTTTATTTAAACCCCTCTATGCTAAGAAGTTTTTTAGACAATTTTGAAGCAAATTGCAGAATTTTTTTAAGCTGCAATATTGCAATGCAAATCAGAAAACGAAATATTAAAAATATGTCACGAAAACATCCTGCTGATACTCTACTTGGGGGCGTTATAACATGCTAGTTACAATATCTATCAAGAGCCGCGTTGATTCCTTAGACAGCGTTACTCAAAGTGTGCTCCGTGGAGCCCCGGGGCTCCACAAAGCCTTTGTGGGGGCTCCGCGAAGAAAATAGTTATAATTAAAAAAAACAAGAAGCAGTACTACCGACACAAAAGGGAGGGACCTGACTTAAGGACTTTTTTTTTAGAAATGTGTTTAGGGCTTTGTCAAATATTTCGCTTTTCAAAAAGGGTCCGTCGCCAAAAAAGTTTGAGAAACACGAAACACTTCCTTATAAAGTCGAAAATGCTTGATAAATAACACATCATTTATTCAAAAGGGATTTTTATAAACACACTTCTTCCTTCTATGCTGTCACTCTTTAATAATGTTTTGATTTTCAACAGCCAGCAAATGTTAATTTTATCAAAATCTGCCACATTCATATTTACAGTCCACAATGTCGCATACGAATTTAAATTCGAGCACTTTAGACCACTCGTGTTGAATTCACCTGACATTTGTCGTATACTGTTTTCGAGAATACACTTTTTTAAAATCACCTAGTTGCTATTCGACATTTCACTAATCTCGCATGCGAATCGAGGTATTCGACATTAGAGAATACTACCCCTGGCCGATTTCAGGTAAGAGCGCAAAAAGGTTGAGCGCACTGATAGTTCTTAGAAAATATAAGATGATCTATTTTTATTTGAATTTAAATACAAATTTTGACATTTTAAAATTTTATGGAACATCAATAGTTTGATTAATCTATATTTTTTGAATTTTTCAAACATTTCTATAAAACGTCGATTAATAATTTTTACCTATTTGTTTTTTTTTTTAATAAACATATATTTATAATTTGATAAGCCGATTAAGACTTACCAGTTTATAAAAATGTCCAATTTATTAATTTAACACGTTATTGACTGAACACAGACACATCCAGTTAGAGGTAAAAATTCTATATGGAACGAAATTGTTTAGGTGGGAATATACTGGGAGTGCCTTTTTTAATTTCAATAATGATTGTTTTGAAGGCATATGCGTGTTGAGTTACAAAAATAATAATCGATATTTACTAAAAAGAATCATGTGTAAATAAATTTTATGTCTCTAACCGTATAATATCAACATTGTGTTGCTATATTTTTGTATCGTTTTGTGGTATTGATTTTGAGTTATTTAATATTTTAATAAATGTTTCGGAATTGAAGGTACATCTTTTGTATCACATATACAATATAAATAAATTTACCTTCTTTTAGTTGTTTTTAAAAGGGATTAGAAATGTATGTTTTTTATCTGGAAAGAAAATTTGAGTTATGATATTCTACAAGTTCAAATCGAGTTTCTTAACGGAACTTATGTTTTTAATGTTTAATTTAATATACCTTTAAAGTTTTCTCGAAAATAAGTATCCATATAGGGAGGAAACTTTTTCATAGGGACAGCGTCGTCGGGTATCGCTCGGGCGAAGGTCGTTTTGCCCTGACCCCGCTCTTTCGTTAAGAAGGGGTCGTGAGAGAGATATGGCCGTACTGGTGGACAATTCGGAGAGCGTAGGGAACTTCTCGAAATCACCAACACTGTGAAGCACTTTACCAGGGAAACTTTCCCCTGACCTACATTTGCCGTATGTAGGCTCAATGGGGGTAGATAGTGATTTGAGTCTTGAATTGTGTAGTCTGAGGGTAGGTTCGGGCCCAGACGGCGGGGATTTAGCAAACCGTCGGGTAGTGTCATTAATTTGAAAGTTATGAAAATCATGAACATTTAAATTTATAGCCGAGTTCGGCTGTCTCCACAAGGTGGCATTTTGCTCTGGGGCGGTAGTAACCGGGGAAAAGCCATAGAACTCTCCCCGTGTACCGTGCCCTGAAGGGAATGTCCTTCTGAGGTCACCAGTGAAATTATTTGAATTTTTGTGGTGCATTTTTGTAATAAGTTAAATTGAATTGAAGTGATTTAAAATACTATATTAAGTTAGTTAACTGAATGACGTTAAATATTCTAAACTAATGAATTTATTTAAAAAAATAATAATAAAAGCCTTCCTCAGTCAAGTGGGTTAGACAGGGGAAGGTGGATGTCGATTAGCAAGTAACCGACAATCACTAGGATATAACATTTATAAATATAAATAAAAAGAAATGAGCTCCGTTACTATAACCAAGGTGTCTCCGAATGGCTGTAAAATAAAACAAACAAAGAAGGTCAAGGTCGTTCGCCAGAAGAAAAGTTAAAAGCTCAAAAAGTAAACAAACAAAGCCGGAGGTACTTACCAACCAAAAATATTATTGACAATGACACTATAAAGAAATACCTATATGGCTGCGACCCTTGACACCTGTCACTCCGACCTGCGAAGAGACGAAAATCCGTTACAGGTTCCGCGCCTAAAAATGCCGGCAAGCGGGAGTGAAAATGGAGGGAACTTAAATGAAGACAGCCCTATCACTTTTAAATGGGAAACAATGTACCCCTCGTCTCCCACGTAATCAGAACGGACTCACCCAGTGTAATAATCTCAAGGAGGAGCTCTAAGAAGGAGGATCGCAAGGAAGCAGTGTGGAGAATTCGCGAACACCGGCTTATTTCTCAACCACTTTGCTAGAATCCTTTCTTTCCTTAGTATACCCTTATGTCGATCGGCTCAGGCAGTCGTGGTGCTTATTCAAAACTTGAAGTAATCCTTTTTGCTGAACCGACACAGAAATCTAATTTTTACTATATTCGCGAGAGCACTATCCACGAGAAAAGTTAAAGATCTACTGCCTATTTTTGCGGGAAACGCTTATATTTATGTCTTTAATTCCTAGCTCCGCCCATAGGCAAAGCAATTACGTAAATGGCTAAAGCTCTTTGGAATAGTTTGAAATTTGCAACGGCTGTATATTTGAAATTTAAACTATGTCTTTTTACGAGTAGGATATATAATAATGGAATTCGATTAGAAGATAAAGTACTTTTTAGAAAGCTAGAAGGAATGTAAATAGGTGTGAAATATTAATAAGACATAGTTTGGACACGCGAATTACTTTGAATTTTTGTGAGGTTTGAAATATTTCTGCATATGTAGGTATTTCATTCGGGTACAAACGAATTACGGAAATATGAATGTTCGAAGTTGTTCCCATGAGAAAGAGTAACTAGTCTCCGAACTTTAGGATTACTTCCTGATTATTTTGTGACAATTTAATATTAAAAATTAAAATAACTTTTCTGGCGTTCGAGTACGAATGCCAGATGTAAAACCACAAGTACTTGTGTCACTCGCGTATCGGGAACAACACTAATGATTTGTGGTGCGCATGTCGTACGCGTTTTATTTGTACATCGGTCTCCTTTTGATAGAGTAGGTGAGCTGTGTACAAGCCGTTGGTGTTTATGCCAGTCGGCGTAGCGAGGTATGGATTGAAATTTTCTGGTGGCGGCAAAGCCGCCACTCTACGAGAAGTCGTTGCTTCGTCTTCTTGTTGTCATGGCATTATTATTATTATTTGTTCATGTATGTGAAATTTGCTTCTAAGGTTTATAAAATACTACTACTAGTCACGGCGTAAATGAAAACAAACAAGACGCATTCACACAAACACCTCCCACTACAGCAATTACAAATCATTAGTGTTGTCCCCGATACGAGCGTATCTTTTCCGCCTACTGAGAGGCGCTGGCAATTTAATAATTTTAAAATTTAAATAGTCATTCCTTTCCAGTTGTTAAAAAATCTTTCTAACATTTTACGCCAATAGAACGTATTTATCGGCTTTAAAATTTCCAAGTATTCACTGCGCACACTATTAACATACCGAATTATCGTTGGAACCTAGCGTGAGTTATAATAACTCACAATTAAAACTCACGCTATTTGTTTATTGATGTTATGTTATGTTGGGAATGGGGTGTTAATACACTGCGACCTAAAAGATCTATTGTGCCCCCTACTGTCGCCAATGCACTAAGGAAATGTTTCAATGCCTATAACGACCCTTTAAATCCTATTTTCTCAAGGAAGTGTAGGATTTGAAGTGGCTTCAAGTTAGGTAAATCTCCCTCTTCTATTTGATATCCTCCTAGATATAGTGCCCTTGGATTCTGGAGTGCTACACATTCAGTTAGGATGTGAATGGAGGTTTCGTCCTCCTTCTCACAAAATCTGCACTCACTATGCTCTACTACTCTCAGTTTACTTAGGTGTCCTTTTAGTCGGCAATGCCCGGTAAGGATCCCTGTTTCAATACGTAGCCTGTTCTTACTCAGGCAGATGCAGGCTTCCGATCTTTTCTGGTTATATTCATCCAGAAGTATCTTGGCCTGTCTCAGCCCCAAGAGATTGTTCCAATTATCGGTTCTTCTAGTGCCCAATTCATTTTTAATCTTTCCTAATATTATGTTACTGCTGATACCGCAGAACGGCTCAGGTCCTACAAAGGGTGTTTGAGCCCCTTTCCTTGCAAGACTATCTGCAATCTCGTTACCCTGTACCCCGTTATGTCCCGGGACCCAAGTGAGAGCAACTCTATTTTTCTCGCCTAGCTCATTTAATTGTTCTAGGCATCTCCAGGCCATTTTTGAGCTAATTACGTAAGAGCTCAGCGCTTTAATGGCTGCTTGACTATCGGACATTATGATAGTCACTTGTCTATGATAGTTTCTCTCTATGTTAAACTGGATACATTTCTCGATGGCGTGAATTTACGCCTGGAATATGGTTGGGTATTTTCCCAAGCTTTGGGAGTGCTTGGTTCTCGGCCCATATACTCCTATTCCAGTTCCTTCTATGGTTTTGGAACCGTCCGTATACCACTGAATAGCACGTCTTTCGGTTGCAAGCGCGATGGATTCTTGGCGCCTTTCTTTCTTGCAGCCCAGTTATGTGGTTTTGAAGTTTTTCACAAAACTGTACTTCTTTAGCATTTCATCCTGGGGAATGTTTCAGGTATCTTTAGTCCTGAAGCACGTAGACTTTCGTCTGATTACTCTGTTCCTGATCATTCTATATCCTGTCCTTTTTGCCACATTCTTTATCATCAAATGTAGAGGGGTGAGGTTTAAGATCGCCTCCATTGCGGCTGTAGGACAGGTTCTCATTGCACCAGTAATGCAAACACAGTCTAGTCTTTGTACTTTTGAGATATTAACTCTCGTAGTAGCTAAACTAGTTCAGTTACTCCAGGCTATAGCCCCGTAAGTGATGATTGGTCCCACTATTGCAGTATACATCCATCGCAGTATGTTCGGGTTACATCCCAATCGTTTACCTGCAATGTTTCTGCATACCATTAGGGCTTTTGTGGCCTACTTCCTTCTCATGTGTGTTCCAAAGAAGTTTATTGTCCAGGGTTAGGCCTAGATATTTGACTTCATTTTTCCATTCTATATCTATCCCGTCTAATTTAACGGTTTTGAGATTAAGTTTTCTTTTCCTTGAAAAGGCTACTAGTGTTGTTTTTGTAGGGTTTATACAAAGTCTCACTTCACTGCACCATATTTTGATATGTTCTAAGTCCTCGTTGGACTATATCACACAGGATATGACTAAACTTGCCACTAGCAAATATGACTATGTCGTCGGCATAACCTTGACAAGGTATACCCTGTCAAGGTTATGCCGAGGTCAGTCAGTGTGCATAGAAGTTCGTCTACGGTTAGCCTCCACATAAGTGGGGATAGAACTCCTCCTTGTGGACATTCTCTGGTTGTGCAGATGGAGATGGTGTCCTGCCCTATATGTGTCTCTGCAGTTCTCGTAGAAAACAGCTGAGCCATCCATCTGGATGTGATGTTATCTACTTCTCTGTATGCAAGTGCTCTTTTTACAGATTCGTGTGGCGTGTTGTCAAAAGCTCCTTCTATGTCTAGGAAGACACACACGACCGTTTCTTTGTTTGTCAGTGCATCCTGGATTACATCAGTCAACTGTACTAGGGCAGTTTCTGTAGATCTTCCTGCTCGCTACGCGTGTTGGCTGTGGTGGAGTGGCACCCTCTCCAGGACTTCCGTTCTGATATAATTATCAACAGCCTTCTCCATTGATTTTAATACAAAGGATGTGAGGCTGAGTGGTCAGAAGGATTTAGCGGCCTCTCTTGGGGACCTGCTTACCTTAGTTGTGACCCTTATTCGAAAAGGTGTGCTTTCAGGAAAGTGAGTTTCGAGTAAGAGGCGAACTCTTTCCTCCTCACTCTCCGTGACGCTTCCATTTGGTTTCTTTAGTGCCATAACTGTATCAACTCTCCCTTTTGCCAGGGCACTGTGCAGTCTCGCTGCCGCAGGTGTATAGTTAATATCCTCGCAGAATTTTCTAAAGCTGTTACGTTTAGCTTTCCTGATTTCTTTGTTGTAGGTAGTAAGCGCCTCGGTGTAGCTCTGCCAATCTCCGCTGTGCTTGGCCCTATTATAGAGCTGCCGCACTTCGGATCGTAAGTTTGACAGATGACGGTTCCACCAAGGAGCATTCCTACTAGTTCTATTTCTTTGCATGGGGCAGCTTGATTCATATGCCTCAAGTATTGCCCCATTTAGTTCTTCGAGATCGCTTTCTAGAACAAGTGGGTGCTTGGGTTCTAGTTTGTTTTTCAAGGATTCCTCCTGAGGATTAACTGAGGAATATCGCTCTCTAACGTAAACACAATTATCTTGTGATCAGATGGAGACGCTTCACTCGATACTCTCCAGTTTGTAACTAGAGTTTTAATACTCGGTGAGCTTAATGTGATATCTAATACCTCACTTCTTGCCCTTGTTACAAATGTTGGAGTATTCCCAATATTTTGCACAATAAGGTTCTTATTAAAAATATATTCTAAAAGTTGCTCACCTCTTTGATTGGTGTCGTTGCTTCCCCACACGGTACTGTGCGCGTTGGTGTCGCATCCAAGAAGTAATGGCAGATGTCTTCTCTGGCAGTACTCCATTAGCTTCGATACTTCCGGAGGTGGTACATGCCCATCTCCGGCGAAGTAACTAGAAGCTATTACTATGTCTTGCCGCCTCATCCCTAATTCCAGGTATGCTCGAATTGGAACGAGATCACGCGTTATGAATTCTGAAAGATAAGAATATTTAATATTACTTCTTACCATTATGCATGTTCTGGGTACTTCATCACTAGTGTGATAAATTACCCTTGCATCCTTACATACAAGTCCTCTTACCTGATTTCCATAGACCCACGGTTCCTGGATCAGTACGATCCCTAATTGATCTTTAGCGAATGTCCTGGAGATCACAGGGCCTTCTTAACTCGTCGCCGAGAGGAGCTTCTCTTATATCGGACGGTGTCACTAGCAGAATACAAATCCTCTAATGCATGAGAGCGTCTGGTAATTGTAGATGATATGATCGATGGTCTCATCTGCTTGTTCGCATCCCCTGCAGAGTGCATATTCTGACAGCTAAATGTTATGGAGATACTTTGCATGCTTGACAATAACTAGTCAAAATGCCTGTAGACAGGCGTATATTCTTCATAGTCAAGTATTTGTTTGCTGTAGTGTTGTCGAGATAACTTAAAAGCTTTCTGGCAACTCTACAGCCTCTTGTTTCATCGAATTTCCTTGAATTTCACAAGGGAATGTTTTTTAATTAGGTCTGTCACTACCGATGTTGTCAGTCCAATGGAACGGCCAGATCCAAAACGTATTTAGTTGGCACCTTCTTGACTAGTAAATCAGCAATACAGATACCTTTCGATGTGGAGTGACCTTTGATTCATCTTAAGGTGACCACATTGTTGATGGATACTTCGGTTAAAGCTTCGTGACATTCTAGTACTAACCCTGAGTAAATTCGTAATCTGTTCAGGGTAAGCAGTGCTTTACTGATGTGCATAGATTAGCATGTGTCTTTCAGCGATATTGTCTCTGGTAACTTCTTTTGCTGCTATGATTATCCTCGTGAGCTCGGTTTGCACTACACTGGCATTGTTAAGCAAAGCCCATTTTATGTTTAGTTTTAAGGATATACTCCACATCCTGTGCCTTATTGTTTTGGAACAGTCGGTGTAGATATTAATCGTACCTGTCACTCCCGGCTCTTTTGTGTTCTGTTATAAATTATGACTTTTGCAAGATATATCTCGGTGATATGGAGTCCATGTTTACTTAAAGTAGTGGAAGCGTATCGAGTTTCCTACATCGGGTTTTCTGTTTTAACCGTGCGGTGTCGTGTCATTGTCATCAAAGCTATGTCAAGGAAAGTGAGATTAAGGAAGACTTCCATGGCTCTAGATGGTGTGGTTTTTATGGCTCCTATTGTGTTGAGACATGCTGTTCTTTGAATTTATTCTAGTTTGCAGATAGTTATCAATTGTTGGATTTTCGATACCCAGACAACTGCACCGTATGTTAGCATAGGTCTTATAACGGCCGTGTAAGTCCATGTGACGATTCTGGGGGAGAGAATCCAGATGCGCGCCATGGTACTGCGGCATTCTTCATAAGCAATGTATGCTTTTTTGACTCTGCTTTTTGGATCTAGGTTTCATTGTCAAAGGTGAGACCTAGGTCTGTTGTAAAGTTTTGTAATTATGTGCTCTAGATGTTTTAGTTTCATCCTTTTTCCTATAAAATGGAGCATTTCTGTCTGTTTTAATACTATTATAAGTATTTTTAGAGGATATTTATTAAGAATGCTTTGTATTTATTACAGATACTTTTATTATAAAAATAATTTGATTTTGGGCGATGTTGACATCGAGAATAATCGTTTACAATTGACATGAAGTATGACATTACATTAGTTTTCGTAACGACTTCCTCTCCCTTTTTAAACTCGATTTTATCCTACGCGTGCTTTTATCATATTTTTTTTGGGTTTCTTTGTTTTTGCATAGTTTTTCAAATATTTCTTTTTTGATTTTGGGCTTTAGTTTTTTAGAGGTTATTGGTATTAAGGTTCGTAGTCGCCTGCTTTGCAATATTTGTGCTGGTGATACATTTAGGTTTACTATTGGTGTGTTATTATATTCTAATATGGTTTTTCTAAAGTCATTATTCTCCTCAAATTATTTTCTTAATATTTGTTTCCCAATGCTAACTGCTTTTTTAGCCATGCCATTACTATTTTATCTATTATTGCTTTATCTTCTGCGCTTTAATCTGGGTCAGCGACATTGTAATTGCATGTTCTGACTAATTTTCGATACTCCGAGGAAACTTTGGAAGTTTTTGCCTTCTTTTTGATTTCTTTTTAGAAAGTTGTACCGTTCGTAACACTCGTTGTTTCTTGGATTTACATACTTATCTATTACTTTTATCAATTGTTCATAGTTATCCTTTTGTGCAGCGGGTACATTGAAAATCAAAATTATTTTGGCTGCCTCTGTTCCCATCAGGTTCCTTAGCATGGATATTTTTACTTTATCAGTCGATTCATGCCTTCCAGTCGCTATCAAGTAGTCGTCGAATGATTATTTCCAGAACATCCTCGCTAGCTGCATTTTGACTCTGTAGGTGAAAGTCGGGAGGTAATTTGACTGCTCCTGCCCCGATGTTTTCCATTTCACGTGTTCTAACCTCTTAATTTAGGTTATATTTATGGATTTTCCCTATCTTACTTTTCTTCCCTCAATATTTAATCTGCAGGCTACTGCGCCATGTTTTAATACTATTATAAGTATTTTTAGAGAGGATTTATTAAGGATGCCTTGTATTTATTACAGCTACTTTTATTATAAAAATAATATTACATTTTGGGCGATGCTAACATCGAGAATGATCATTGACAATTGACATGAAGTATGACATTACATAGTTATAAGTACGTTCGACATCAAGCACTGTCTTCTTGTCTTGTGAGTGAAGAGTCCTTGCATCACTATTCTATAATTTTACGATTTACCTACTTGCATCCTTTAGCCCTCAAAGAGTTATCCAAAATGCTCGTCTTGTGTCTTGGCCGTTGCAATCTGCACGTTCTGATGCAAATGATGATGCACTTCACTACCAGAATTAAATAACGTAGACATTTCAGACAATATACTAATATATTTGGACTGATTGGTCTAAGAACTATTTGGTAGAATTTCAGCGTCATCAGAAATGGTCAACGAATAACCCAAATATTCGTTTGGATGCCTTAGAATTAAAAAAACTCGTCCATTACATTAGAATTGGGGAAGAGTGATAGCTTTACCAACTAGACAAGATGATACAATTAATGGGGAAAATATTCATATAATATTTATCAGTTAGAAATATGTCATAATTTTATATACCGAAAATTAGGCTGCATTTGTATATTTTATACTAAAAGAAAATTACAAAAAATTATACAGTTATTGAGACAAAAAAGGCAAATAAAACAAACATCTGTATTTAAATATTTTTTTGTATTTCTCTATACATTCATATACAATGGATAAGTATAATTATACAAAGAATTTCCACCCGAATTCCTACTGTAAATTTTTCCAAATAGCGATATGCGATTTCATCAGACCATCGTCATTATTTCTAGTATAATAGTATCTAGCAAACCAATAATTTTCTATAAAAATTACCTAATACTTCAGGTGAAAATACTTTAAAAATTGTACCTTTCATACAATAAGCAACAATTTGTTTTTTAAAGATATCCGCTTATAAAAAGTTGATTTTTTGTTTCTTGTCCTAAACGGTCGTTTTGTAAGGCATTTGAACAGTTCCCTTGAATCATTTCCAAACTAATAAGTACTCATTTATAATACTTATTTATAGTTATAGCAAAAAATTAATAAAAAATTGATACGTTTTTTTGTGAGGTTTGTGAGGTTTTACAAAACAAATTTATTAAAAAAAAATATGGTAGGGAACTTGGTTGTTAGGCATTTTGGTAGTATGCAGCTATATAAGTATTACGTAATAAAATATAAATACGTCACATCACACGAACTAAAATTAAATTAATATGTACAGTTATACCTAAAATTAAAAAAATAGAAATTTTGAAACTCATTTTAGCTCGTCCATAATTGATATTTTTGGTTGAGTTCTCTATAAAAATTAGTGCGATCTAGTGATAAAACATTTTAAAACAAGAAACATGTGATTAATATGTTACCCAAGTGGTTGGAGTGTATCGCCTTTACAGTCACTTCTGCAAGTTGAAGATGTTAAGTTAAAAAAGACAAGTGAAAGATCTGGAAGCATTTCAAACACAGAAAAAATCATTATATTTCGGCCTCGTCTCATAAATAATCTTTGTGTAGTCTCTCTTAGAGGATATTGAACGCATACATATCCAGTGTAAAAAAAGCAAAATATCCCACATATAAAATGAAAATGTATTACATTATCTACACATACTATTTTTAATAAAAACAATATATTCTCTAAAACTATAAGTAAAATGAAGAAGATTTTACATTGAACGATATTCGAAATCTAGTTATTGTTCTGTACTAGCGTTGATAAACACTTTTTCAACTCATAACATTCCCAATGCACTTAGTCTTTCTACTTTCATTATAATGATAAGGATATAAGAGGAACGGCTTCAGAAATGGTTTGCAATTTTTCTCTTGCATAAAGTATTTGCAGGTCTGTTTTTAGAGAGCAATTTGCAAAGAAAACTGTATTGGTTCGATAAAATATTATTTCATTAATAATGCGGTAACTATCAGATGTCAGATGCTAATCTGTTGTATAATGTGATCTCAAACTTCCAAGGCTTCAAATTTTTCATTTGTTGAACTAGATAGATCAAAACGAGGATAACGTCGCTTTTTCTAAGGAACAGATACATCTTCGTTTTCTAAAAGCTCCCACTTTAGTTAATCAATAATTATTGTGTCCCTTTCATCACGAATTTTTTTCATTGCATTTTCAAAGTTTTGTAGATCTTGTTTACCCCCTTGAAGGTCGTTATTAATCGCCTGTAATTGCTTAAAAAATATTTCTCCATGTGGAATGATTTTATGAAAATTTGAAGTCTCTGTTCTGTAATCTTAGTTTATATGCACTGGCTTGCTTAATCGAAGGATTCGATTTAAAATTTTTATCGTTCTCTAAAATATCCATAACGTGTATCAGCTCATTTCGGTATTCCTTTGAGCCGGATCTTCAAATTCGAGCACATCAACTTTAACAACTAGAAAAAGCCGCAGAGAGCCACTCACAACCGGCAAAAAGAAAAACAAGATTAAAAACAAAATTGTTCAGTGCAAATAAAGACTGTTTAATTTTTTTTATATACCTTTTTAAAAATTTTTACCAATGGTACTGCTACAAATTTTTTGGTGTATATTTGTTATTTATTTGATTTTATATTATTTACCAAAATAAAAAAATAAATAAATGTTTGCTTGGATAACTTGACCTTTTGACATTTTAGTTCAAATTAAATTATGCCTCGTTATTATTTAAACCAATTTTTCATTATTTTTTTTTTGGAAAATTCAATATGAAAACGAAATATGTTTTGAATATAAAATATTTTATAACGGAGAAAAATTCGGTACGCCTATGCATATCGAGCGATTGAAAGCAAATCGGATGATAAGGTTTTTCTTAAAATATTCAATTGGTATTAAACAAAGTATACAAAAAATGTGTCAAAAATATCAAGTTTGGACGCTGTTTCAGTATTTCACAAATGATTGACGAAAATCCAAACTAGATGGAATCTAAAAAAATTTTCAACAAAAAAAAATTAAAAATACTGACCAGACCTAAATTATCGAGTTATATGATAGTAACAGGTAACTTATACTTATTAGTATTATTTTTTTCCTTAAGAACTAGGTTCGTAACCAGTTTTTTTTTAGTTATGTAATTAACAACTTAATATGTTTCAAATATAGGACAAGATCGGTAATGGAACGAAGTTCTAAAAGAAAAACATGTATCTTTTTAAAAATTAAATTATCAGTGCCAATTCCTTGATTCTATTAAAAAAACTCATTTAAATATGGCGTATTATAAGATTGTCCCTCCAATATAATAAAGAATCAAAAAATCAGCCAATATTCACAATATATTTAATAAACTTTTTAGTTTTATAAAGTCAGAAAACTACATTGTCATCAATTGGAAAATGTACTAAAAACAAAAATAAAATAGTACCTCAGGGATCTGTCTTGGTACTAGTGATAATTTTGTTTTCATAAACAATTTACCAAAATATACGAAACTTTGTGAATCGTTAAAATAGTTTATTGACTTTATAAAATCTATAATATTAATTTTTTCATGTAACAGCTAAATCACAGAATAACTTTCAACTAAAAACTGCAGCACTTTCCTTAACGCCTGCGCCTGCTGGCAATTTTTAGCAACCCAGATTTCCATGATGAGATAACAAATTAACCAATAAATGAACACAAAATGAAGGAATTATATACAAGGGGAAGTCAGACGGTTTGGAAATTAATAAAAAAGAAAGCTGAAGAGCTCGGATTGAAAATAAAAAAAGTTCATAATTTACTTATTATCTAAAATATAGTCGAATACTTTGGTTTTTATCTTGTATTTTAAGCTACCAGTGCATGGAAGAATTTTTCAGTTGTACATTGTTTAAGGTTGGCCCGTTCACTGCCTGTTAGAGAAAAGGAAGATCAAGGCTATACTCAAAATGACCAATGAGGATGTCATCGACGAACTGCTGCTTGTTTGGGAAGCTAAAAAATTCAAAATTGTTAATATAAAACAGTATATTATAGAAAAAAACTTTGTAATCTTAAAAATATATTTTCCAACATTTTTCAAGATCAAATTATTACATTTTATGAAATTTTGTGATAAGTTAGTGCCCTATTATTCTTTTATTTTCTTTAACCAAATTTTATATATAATATATACAATAAGCAAATCGTGTAAATATGTACAGGGTATCCCAAATTGATATGTTTTGCAGGGTATCCGAAAATTAGAAGAGATACAAAATAGTTGTTAAGATGTCATGATTTTTTTCCCGTTAAAGTAACAACTGTCCAATCAAATCTTTAATAGCTTAATTTGCGAGGTATAGAGCGATTATTGAAAACTGTCGAAAACTACAAGGTTCTATAATTAAAATTAAAAAACTTTATAGAAACTTTTGATAGATATATTATGGAAGAGTTCAGTGGAGCATACATTTTCTTGCGGAACCTCACTAAGCAAATATTAAACTTTTTTAAAAGGACACCTTGTATATTTTGATGGTTTTCGTTTCCATTTTTAATTCCCTTTTATCTGATCTTACATATTTATTTTCAGTGGTTGGAGCTTCAGGGCAAATAAAATATTAATCGTTTTTATCACATTAAAGACATTTAAAAAATTAAACTAACGCATTTTAACATTTTATTATGAGTGTACTAATCTGTGATAGTTTTATTTACTTAAAATAAAATCAGTAACTTGAAAACAAAGTAAAAAATAGCTTATTGTTGGTACAAATTACTGTTTCCATTTTTTGTAAATAAAATTATTACCAAATAGGGCACCCTGTATTTTATTACCTTTTTCGTTTCCATTTTATAATTTGTTTGGCCCGATACAATATACAGGGTGGGCTACCGGTAACGCCTCGGTCTGTAGTGCTAAAAGTATTTGATTTTTTTTTAAATCTTTTTATACAGCATATGTATATCAGAAAAGGCTTTTCCCATTTTAATAATAACAATAAGTATGAGATTATACAAGATATTTCTCGAGCTATAACCAGTTTTATATGAAAATCGTATTGATTTTAATGACCTGTATACTACAAGCAGCAAAGTGCCGTCATTATGACGTGATTTTTTGGGATTTACTCGTCAGAAACGTCATTATCCCAATTAATGCCGTTACTTTGACGTCGTTTTTGCAACGTTAATTAGATATTAATACAGACTCGTCATTATGACGTAATTTTTTAGTATTTATTTATCCGAAATACAATATCCTAAGCAGTAATGTGTATTTAACGTCTCATTGATGACATAGAATAAACGTCACTTAGAATTCGTCATATATTACGTTATTTTTTCGTATATTTTAATACTTAAGTGTTGAATTGTAAAGAACCTAATTGGAAATCTGCTTCAACTGAAAACACGTATATATTAGGTTTGTTCGAGCTGCAATTTGTAATTTTTTTTTGGTAAAATTACGGTACCTTATCTTTTGATATGGATAATTAGTACCGTTCCGTTTTCTAGCATTAATCATTCACGATTTTGTTGCCTGTCTCTTTTTAACGTATGGCTAACCCAATTCCGATGTCCTCGAGTCTCAAATGGCAATGAGTTTTGCTAGTATTGTACTGGATTTGCTACATCCTAAAGGTAACAGGTACGCTAGAAACGAAATACAGTACATTGCCCGCTATCATCCAGTATAATTAATATAAGTTAAACCAGTAAAAGTACCGTAAAGACCTAATAAATCCTAAACAATTGATAATATTCCTTAGGCAACCAGAGAGGAAACCGATCTTAGTACATTTTTATGAAATCTGGTACAATTATTTATACCAATCTAGTACTAAACTAAAAAATATTCTGGCAATGTCATAGTGTCAATTGTCATTGTTGTTTGGTTTCCTCCATCTCCATGAGTCGTAACTTCGTGAACGAGGTGAATTTTTAAATTGTACTATTTGATAAGATGTTTTAATAGAATGCGACAAAAAAATGAAGTATATTAAACCAAATTTGATATTTTACAGATGTATTGCATTGTTGAGTTTGAAAAACCGGACGATGACGGTCTGGCGGTTGTGAGGCCGCCTTTATAAAGAAATATATAAAGAAATATAATATAAGACCGGTGAGTAATGTTATACTTTTATTTTTTGATTATGGGTCCTTTCAGGGTATTTTTTAATAGCTTATTTAAAAATGAAAGATTTGTAGGGGGTCACTTGATTTAGATACCTTTTATCATCTCACAGGATATGTGATCTTTTTTTTTATTAAGTTTTTATTATAAACTCAGACTATATGTATACCTCTGAGAAGGTAGTTTTTGTGGCTACTACCTAAATCTCCGGTAAAGTAATCCCCTTAGATTTTACAACTAAATACACAATTTACTTTCTATCTTTAAAAATTTTCAGTGGTCTGTATTTTAATAGTTCATTTATTTTAGATGATAATGATAAGTGATGTACCAAATTAAAAAAAGTCGAAGTTACCTCAGATCTACATTCCGAGGCTGATAAAGTACCTATTAAAAGGAAACAGGTGCCAACTAGAAAGCTATCATTCGATGGTACTGAAGATGATGAAATCGTAAAGCATGCTCGCCCACCCCCAATTAAAATTAAATCTACAATTTTAGGTATGTAGTGTCACTTCCTCTAATATTGTTTTGTCATTTTAACTTTCATCTGTTTAGTATCTTTAATAATTCCATCCATCCTTGGGACACCCAATATAGACGTCACTTTGACGTTAAGTAGATTCGTGATATTGACGTCATTTTGCCTATCCTAGGACACCCGATATACACATTACTTTAACGTGATATCGATTCGTCACAATGACGATATGGAATGACGTCATTTCGCTGTGACATTCTCACGTTACCATAACGTTATTTTCACGTCATCAAATGACGTAACGCACACCAAAAATCACGTCATAATGACGGCATGATGTTGCATGGACAGAGAAGCGATTGAAAATAATTTTTTTTGCTCTAAATGGTTTTAGACATTAGTCAACATTTTATGCCCATAAACTACATTTTCAATTCAAAACAAATCTATACAGGGTGAGTCAAAACTCAAATATATATGTGTGATTAAATTTATGTTTCCCTTGGTACGGATGCTAAGTCCATTTGCCAGATAAACTCAAATATATCATTTTTTAATTTTTTTTAATTTTCCACTCTGTATTTTAAGTCACCATTTAAAAATACCTTAGTTTCATTTAAGTTTAACATTCCCTTATCAATAGTTATTTAACAGACAGCATTCTTTGAATATAATTTAAAACTTTTAATTTCTCCTTTTTGTATTTCAATAGAATAATATTCTTATATTATCTAATATTTTATTCATCTTAAGTATCTTTCAAAAGTAACCTCCCCGTAGACTAGGCCACGAACCGTCCCTGGTAAGGAATAATTATTCATTAAGCTTTTAGAATAAAACCAATATATATACTCAGTTTTGTAAGATCGGTAAAAATATGTGTCAATTACTATTACAATAAAATGGAAGGCATTTTAAACATTTCTTATAATTTTCACATTTTGGTTTTGTTATTGTTTCCCAGAGCCACTTTAGGAGCAGCATTGTTAATTAGACCCCAACAGTGAATGGTCGAGTGGGGAATCCTGCTTATGTATTAGAATTCATTGTTAATTAATAAAATTAAATAAAAATACCGTCTCCGGCGGGATTCGAACCTGGGACCCTTGGATTCGAAAGTCTAGACTCTAACTTCTAAGCCACCCACCCCCTGTTTATTGTTGTTTCTAAGTTTATTATTCTTAATTTTTAAGATATTGATTTTATTTTTGGTAAATAAAACTGTCATGGATTAGTATTCTCATAATAAAGTGAATTAAAAATGGAAACGAAAAATATCAAAACATACAGGGTGTCCCATATAAAAAACGAGCTTTTGTACGCCACTGAAATCTTCCATAATATATCTATCAAAAGTTCCTATAAAGTTTTTAAATTTTTCCTAATAAAGAAGTTATGGAAGCTTGTAGTTTTCAACAGTTTTCAATAATCGCCCTGTATCTTGAAAATAAAGAAAGCTATTGAAGATTTGATTGGAGAATCATTACTCTAACAAAAAAAAGTCACGACATCCCAAGAACTTTTTTTCTATCTCTTCTGGACACCGTGTATACAATATATTTTATCTGAATAATTTTTGTAATTCTGATTTTTAAAATTATCCCAAATCACTTTTTTTTAATAGAATAAGATTATTTTTCAGATTAAAATCGTCCTTGGTTATTTTATAAACACCTTAACCGTAACTACAATTTTATGTGTTAATAGTGTACATGACTAATCTAATAATTGTGCCCCAGTTTTTAATTTTGAAAAAACATGCATGAATAAATAAAAACGAATAGAGTGAAGTTGGCGAAGTGAATTTTGAAGAACTTAGAATTTTTTTATTTCATGCACCTGTAAAATGAAATAATAATGTGTGATATAAAAAAATAGAGAGAATAATAATAATAATAGTTGTTTTTGTAACGAGTACCTAATAAAGTTCAAATATGTAAGTACAAGTTGAATACAAAGCTTCATCTTCGACTGCTAAAATTATATATTACTTTAAAAGAGAAGTGGCAACAGCGTTTTCGTTTAAAATATTATTGACAGTATACTGTTTTTTTTTAAACCTTTGTAGAGACCAACAAAAATTAAAAACAAAACCGGTGCCTAGGTTAAGACACTTTTTCTTAAATCTGCCAAGTAAAAATAATTTTTTATATAGATTTTGAATTAAATTTTAATTTTTCAAAGTCGTGAAATCTTTTTTAAAATAAAAATTGACTAAAGCTTGTCTCACATCAACGTTTTTATATTAATATGATTATGACTCAATGGGCGTGTCCATTTAATATTGAAGATACAAATATGAAAGGTTTAATGGGGACAGCCTTTATAGACGGAACATAACAAAAACGCCAGAGTAGACAAAGCTTTAAAGACATCAGAAAATAAACAAAAAAAAAGTAAATAAAAAATACCTCCTACGGGTGCTTCTTTCTGTATAATTTCTTGTTGTTCTGGAACAGGTGTCACTTCTTGTACGTGTTTTTCTGTGCAAAAAATGTGGAAAAATGAATGAAAATGTTAGTAGTTAAATAATAATTAAAAAGAAAATTAGAACAAAATGAACAATTATGGTGGAAATGAAAATATAAAATACTTGAAACCCAAAATCTACGTTAGAAAAAAAACAGTAAAATCTGAACACCGTTAATTAAAAAGAAACCCAATCTCATTTTGCAATAAAATACCTATAAAAACTTTTAAGTACAATAATTAATTTATAGAGAATGAAAGGTGAAAAAAAACGGCTAAGATCCGAAAACTGAAAAATGAAATTTTTGGAAATGTGAAAATATTCCCAATTTCCAAAGTGAAAACAAACCGAAGAAAAGTGAAAATGCTGAGAAATTAATAAAAGAAATAATAAATTAAATCTGGAGCCTCTATGAATTGGACCTCTGAGATACAAAGCTACGACAGTAGTCCAATTTGTAAATTTAAGTCATCAGATTCCGACTCTCGCCAACACACCCACATTCTCCTTCCCCCCCCCCCCCCCAGCTCACTCAATTTTCTTTATAGCCACCCTCGCAACATCGTATAGAAGCCCAGCTTGTAGGTACTTTTTTTTTCTGGTAGGGTGGGAATCCATTACGGACACCAGGCATGTAGTCCTGCCGTATCTGGTAGTGTGGGACTCCCTGCTGAAGGGTACAAGGCCGGTATACCCACTAAAACAACCCCATTCGTCGATAGTGGACCTCCTCGGATCTGCCGGCTGGTATTACTACAAGGTAGGTCGGACGTTGTTTGTTGTTGTCTGTATTTTAACCTTGTATCCTCACTGCTTCCTTTCTCTTGGCAGATACAATCATCATGGCCAGCTTGTTAATATTTTTCCAGTAATGTTCTCTGGCTAGCATTTTGTCAATTAGGGTGTCTGGTGTAAGTTTCCCTGTAGTCCTTTCCGTGTTTGTTCTAATCTCTACCCATCTAATATATTCAAAGAATGTGTGTTCAGCTGTATCTTCTAGGCCGCAATATGTACATTCGTCGGTGTCCACGATTTTAAACCGTTTTAAGTACGCCTGGAAATTGCCATGTCCAGTTAGGATCTGTGTAATAAAGAAGTTTACTTGTCCCCATTTCCTGTTTGCCCATGGTTCGATGCGTTTAATTAGCTGTTTTGTCCATTTTGCCTTATCAGTTTCGAACTCCCATTCTTCCTGCCATTGTACTATAATCCGATCTCTTGCTTCTTTCTTTATAACCTCGTTCTATATTAGTTTCCTTTCTTCCACTAACAGGTGTATTGGCGGGGTCCTTGCCATGACGAGAAGTGCCTCAGTGGACGCTGTTCTGTAGGCGCTAGCGATTCTAATCGCGGCCTTTCTCTGGACATTTAGCAGCATTTTTCGATATATTTCTTTCTTGATGGCACTTTCGCATATGCTAGCTCCATATAGCATCACGGACTGTACAACTGTACATAGGATCCTCCTACTATCCTCTCGTGGTCCACCTACATTTGGCATTAGTCTGCTTATATTTCTTAAAGCTTTGCTGGCCGTCTCGGCCGTGTTTCTTATTTGTTGCCCCATTCTCAAGTTTTTGTCCAGGTGGACGACAAGGTATTTGACACTCTCTTGGCTTTCAATCACTGCGTCTTGTACTTTGATTTTAATAGATTTTATTATTCTACCACCTGCCAGTATAACTACCTCCGTCTTTTGAGGTGCAATATATAGTTTCTTTTCTTTCAGTCTATCTACAATTGTTTCTATTGCTTGGCGGGCCTTGTCTTTCAACTCATCTTCGTTCTTCGCAACTACAACTATTCCTAAGTCGTCTGCATAGCCAACTAGGGTGACTCCGCGTGAGACAGGTAATTTTAGGATATCATCAAAATACGTGTTCCAAAAGATGGGTCCTAAAACAGATCCTTGTGGGACTCCACACGTTACATCTATTTTGCAGTTTTCTCCTACCATTAGGCTTCTATCTTGTAAGTAAGTTGCTATCAGGTTGTATAGATATCCAACGATTCCTCTACGCCTGAGGTCATCGACAATTCCTTCCCAGGGGGCATTCTGGACATCTAGCGTTATTAAAATGCATCTTTTCCTTTCTACTCTCTCATTTGCTTCATCAGTGATTTTTTGTACTCTTTCCAGGGCATCGGTGGTTGTTCGGCATTCGCGAAAGCCATATTGTTCGTCGGATAGGTCTCCGGTTCTTTCTATCTCTTTTTTGAGTCTCTTGGCAAAATGAGTTCTTCTAGAAACTTCCCCTAAACATTTAGTAGGCATATTGGTCTATATGTCTTTTCTTGTTGTCCAGACTTGTTTTTCTCAATTAGTGTTAACCTTGCCAGTTTCCATTCTTTAGGAAATATGTCTTCCACGAGGATGTTATTGAGAATAACGAGACATTTTTGGGCATGGTCTCCCACAACTTTAACTAATTCGGGTGGTATCCAGTCAGGACCCGGTGCCTTTTGTTCTTTGATTCTCTCTTTCGCCTCTATTAGTTCCGCTATTGTGAATAAGAGTATCTCATTTTTGTCCACTCGTAACTTTTCCCATTCCACGGTTGGATAGGTCGGAAATAGTTCCTTAGCTATTATTAGTTTCTGGTCTTCTGATAGACTTATAGGCGAGAAAGATTTTAGTTTTATGCTGACAATTTGATAACCCTTACCCCAGATATCATTGTCTACTTCATCGATTACCTTTTGCCATGCTGTCTTCTTTGCCTCTAATATTGCCGTTTTTTGGAGTGATCTACTTTGTTTGTACGATTCCTTACATTGCCTTATTTGAAGTACACTGTTTCTTTTATTGGCCCTTGATAATGCCCTTTAAGCTTGAATACATTTTTTCCGCTTATCTGCAACCTCATTGTTCCACCAGTAGACGGGTTTTCTATTTGGTATAGATTTTTCCTTAGTAGGTTTTTATGACACGCCGTTTGGATTATTGCTCAGATCTTTTGCATCTATTTGGTCAGTCCTCTCGTCCACTTCTTCTGAACAGTTTTTAATGTTATCTGGTGATATTTTCCAGCCTTTATTTGCTATTCGTTGATTTTGTCCATTTTCTTTCTCTGTCGTGTTAATATTGTAGGTACTAGAATAAATGCTAAGATCCATCATTCGTTTGTAAGTTCGATACCCCCGGACACTTTTTCTGTTTGTTTCCAGCTTTTCCAATTTTTGTTTGGTTCGGTTTGTTTTCACAATGGAGATGGGATTGGGAATCATATCTTGACATTTCCAAAACTTGCAATTAATTTAATATCGAATACTGTAATTTTAAAATATATACAGTTCTTACAGTGAGTAAAACAAGCATTATTCTTAACTTTTTTGAGAGCCAAATTTAATTTTTTGCAAAAGCATGTAAAATTTGCTAGATGATTATTTGATTAAATTGTGAGCCATTTATGGGATTTATCGTTTACTTACTCAACATTTTATTTACAAATTTAAATTTAATTTTGATCTTTAGTTGTAGATTAACATTTTTAGATAAATAGATAGGTAAACAAACCCTTAAACCAATAATAACATAAACAAAGAAATAATGAACTAAAATAAATTTAAATGTGCTGTTTTTAAATATTTCAGGTACAATATTAAGTATTTACTATCGATCTACTATTGAAATAAAATGTATAATTTGTCGTTTTGCTTTAATATTATACTTTGAATAACTTCGAAGTAGAGCAACAGGTTCACTATTGTGTATCTATATCTGTAAGTTAGTACTTGGATGGGTGGGTGACTATCAGAGATAACAGGAGATGTAACTACAAAGGACTGAAGTTTAATCCTTACATGAGTTTTGAATATTTCCGGCTAGTAGTGAAACAAAAGAAATTTACATTCATTCTACGTAATAAAGAAGGAGAAATTACATGGCTAGAAGTGAGCGAAACAAGAGTCAGATCTGAACTGGTCTTGGCGAACCGGCTTGTATATAATTAGCGAAACAACAATCTGTTCTTATTTTATTAGATAGTGCCACGGTTTCCAAACTTTTTATCCTTTCTAAAAACCGAAATTAATTGGCCTAGTAATAGTAATACTAGTAACAGTAAAATTGGGTTGTTATTCACTAGTAAAAGCAAAGTGATAGCTTAACCTCAAAAAAAAAAAACGAATACAACAGAAATACAATAATATAGGTATAGAACTTGAACATAGGTATGCTTAATTTGATATGTGTGAGCATGTTGGATGGAATAAAGAAATTCAAAATTTGGTTAGATGTCTGAAAGTTTAGGTCTTATGTCAAGTTCTGCATTAAAGATTTTTCTCTAATTATCTTGCAGATAAGTGTATGTTGAAAATCCTTTCTCACATAGATATGTTATACAAAAGGGTAATCAAATTTGAATGGATTTTTCCACAAAACCAGCTTACCCTGAGCCAAATGTCAAAATTAAAGAGTGATCTTTAAATAGAGATTTTAGGGAATGGTCACAGAATAAGTCAATGACCTTCTCTTTTACTAGTAAAGTTATAGAAGTATCCGAAATCAAATGTCATTCCAGATATACTAGAGGTTTATCTTTGTTGTAATTTATTTACACGGTGTATTAGCTATTAACTTATTTATTTTTTGAAAACACTCTGGCGCCGCACGGTTCAACGCATTTATGAAAAGTCTTGGCCCGCTCGATTCACCCAAGTAGAAGTACAAGTTGCCGGATCGTACGAGAATGTACTCGCATCGCCAGCCTGGCACGTTGTTTTGATGTTGTCTGTTGTGATGTTCATGATTTAAAATTCCGCCATTACAATCTTTTTTCGAGAAATGCTTTATAAAACTTGCGAATCTCGTTTGGGAAACGCTAACATAATGAAGTATAGCACCGAGAATAGATATCATGCCTGGATGGCTCTGCGGAAACTTTTAGTTACTCATTATTGCTCAGGAAAGTAAATTATATTTGAATATTAATTAGCTAATTGATCAAATTTAATTATAATCCTCATAGCCGTTCTAGAAATATTTAAAAACAGCTGGTCTATGTATTACTAAAAAAAAAAGTGTAAGTTGTATATACCTTTAAGTTCTTTTTCTTTTTGGTCTTTATGGTGTTTTTTGTGGTGGTTTTTGTGAGTCGAAGAGCCATGTTTAGCCAAAACTGTGCAGAAAGCAAAAAATCAAAAATTAGAGCGTATGATCATTCAGAAGCAGAAGCGTTAAACTACAATTTAACAAAAAATCTTTTACTTACCACCTTCGAAAGGCATTATGTCCGAATATTCTGACCAGCCGTGTTGGCTCTGTGTTCGAACCCTGGTTTCGTAAGCCCCAGCATCAAGATCTTTTAATGTGTATCTTACTGTAAAGATGTTGGAATCCGAGACTGTTACTTCGGGTTTAGCTACTATCCACGCAGTTTCCTAAAAAATTCAAATTTAATAAGGCAAGAAGCGGGGCTCAATTTCTATGCGCATGTTCAAAATCTTTTTTAATAGTGCTTTTAAACCAATCGTAATTACACTAGAGTACCTACGTTCTTGCCAATGCCAAATGCAGGTTGTTTTATTTTATATAAAAATAACGATTTATAACAATTTATAACGATTTATAACGATTTATAATGATTTATAACGATATATAACGATTTATAACGATTTATAACGATTTATAACGATTTATAACGATTTATAACGATTTATAATGATTTATAACGATTTTTAACAATTTATAACAATTGATTTATAATGATTTATAATGATTTATAATGATTTATAATGATTTATAATGATTTATAATGATTTATAATGATTTATAATGATTTATAATGATTTATAATGATTTATAATGATTTATAATGATTTATAATGATTTATAATGATTTATAATGATTTATAATGATTTATAATGATTTATAATGATTTATAATGATTTATAATGATTTATAATGATTTATAATGATTTATAATGATTTATAATGATTTATAATGATTTATAATGATTTATAATGATTTATAATGATTTATAATGATTTATAATGATTTATAATGATTTATAATGATTTATAATGATTTATAATGATTTATAATGATTTATAATGATTTATAATGATTTATAATGATTTATAATGATTTATAATGATTTATAATGATTTATAATGATTTATAATGATTTATAATGATTTATAATGATTTATAATGATTTATAATGATTTATAATGATTTATAATGATTTAAAATGATTTATAATGATTTATAATGATTTATAATGATTTATAATGATTTATAATGATTTATAATGATTTATAATGATTTATAATGATTTATAATGATTTATAATGATTTATAATGATTTATAATGATTTATAATGATTTATAATGATTTATAATGATTTATAATGATTTATAATGATTTATAATGATTTATAATGATTTATAATGATTTATAATGATTTATAATGATTTATAATGATTTATAATGATTTATAATGATTTATAATGATTTATAATGATTTATAATGATTTATAATGATTTATAATGATTTATAATGATTTATAATGATTTATAATGATTTATAATGATTTATAATGATTTATAATGATTTATAATGATTTATAATGATTTATAATGATTTATAATGATTTATAATGATTTATAATGATTTATAATGATTTATAATGATTTATAATGATTTATAATGATTTATAATGATTTATAATGATTTATAATGATTTATAATGATTTATAATGATTTATAATGATTTATAATGATTTATAATGATTTATAATGATTTATAATGATTTATAATGATTTATAATGATTTATAATGATTTATAATGATTTATAATGATTTATAATGATTTATAATGATTTATAATGATTTATAATGATTTATAATGATTTATAATGATTTATAATGATTTATAATGATTTATAATGATTTATAATGATTTATAATGATTTATAATGATTTATAATGATTTATAATGATTTATAACGATTTATAACGATTTATAACGATTTATAACGATTTATAACGATTTATAACGATTTATAACGATTTATAACGATTTATAACGATTTATAACGATTTATAACGATTTATAACGATTTATAACGATTTATAACGATTTATAACGATCTATAACGATTTATAACGATTTATAATGATTTATAACGATTTTTAACAATTTATAACAATTGATTTATAATGATTTATAATGATTTATAATGATTTATAATGATTTATAATGATTTATAATGATTTATAATGATTTATAATGATTTATAATGATTTATAATGATTTATAATGATTTATAATGATTTATAATGATTTATAATGATTTATAATGATTTATAATGATTTATAATGATTTATAATGATTTATAATGATTTATAATGATTTATAATGATTTATAATGATTTATAATGATTTATAATGATTTATAATGATTTATAATGATTTATAATGATTTATAATGATTTATAATGATTTATAATGATTTATAATGATTTATAATGATTTATAATGATTTATAATGATTTATAATGATTTATAATGATTTATAATGATTTATAATGATTTATAATGATTTATAATGATTTATAATGATTTATAATGATTTATAATGATTTATAATGATTTATAATGATTTATAATGATTTATAATGATTTATAATGATTTATAATGATTTATAATGATTTATAATGATTTATAATGATTTATAATGATTTATAATGATTTATAATGATTTATAATGATTTATAATGATTTATAATGATTTATAATGATTTATAATGATTTATAATGATTTATAATGATTTATAATGATTTATAATAATTTATAATGATTTATAATGATTTATAATGATTTATAATGATTTATAATGATTTATAATGATTTATAATGATTTATAATGATTTATAATGATTTATAATGATTTATAATGATTTATAATGATTTATTTATAATGATTTATAATGATTTATAATGATTTTAATGGAATTTAGTAGAAATATTTTCATAAAATGAAAAGTTAAATATGGAACCTGTTGATAGTGTGGTGTGTGGTGAATGAGAAAATTAGTTTTATTTTACCAAACATTTTCAACCATCTCATAATATTGATATCAACGTAGAAACACTGCATTTTCCTTCATTCGTGAATTTTTAATATAAAATGAAAAAATATGTATCATGTTAATCCATTAAATGTTTTTAATCATTTTAATTGCAAATAATAACAAAGTACTAAAAAAATTAAATATGTTGAACACACAACTTACACAGTTTCTTTATCTTACAAGCGGTAATGCCTATACTGAAAATATGCCTGATAATCTTATTATTTCACACAATATTTATTTTGATATTTATTTTTTTTATAAATAAAAACCTCAAATTTACAAATATTTTAGATATCCGATATATTTCAGAAAAAAAAAAAATTCGGACCAATTTAAAATTTGTTTAAACCAAAAAAAATATAAGACCAAGACACATCGACGAAGAAATGAAACACCTGCGAATAGGGTTAAATCGGCACTGACTACAAGCCAACAAAGAAAATAGAAGACTATCTTAAAACAGCACAAGACCGTAGAGACCCCCTCACATCAGCAGGAGTCTAAAGAATCCCATGCACTTGTGGAAAAGTATAGGACAAAGAGAAGCATTGGTACACGACTGACAAAACACAAAAGAAGTTGTCGTTTAGGACAAACCGAAAAGTCTGCAGTCGTTGAACACGCATATTCCACGAAGAACAGAAGATCCCTTTCGAAAACTCCGACCTACTAGCAACATCTGGTTATTCGACCAGAGGCTATAGAAATACACTATTATGAAAATAACTTTAATAGAAAGGAAGTAAAACAACATTACCAAGAATCTGGCACACATAATTAAAAAGTGCCAAAATAAAACCGCCTAATACGTGCAGCTGAAACGTTTGGTAGTAATAACCAAGAAAGACCACGGCATAACAGCCCGGAAACAAACAACTACCCATACAAAATATATTGTGGGCGTCAGCACCCGAGTAGCAGATGGGACGTACGTAGACTGTACTATCATTTTAAAGCAGTCCTACATTTGGTTAGACGATCCTTGTTAGATATGTTATTCGTAAACTATCTTGAGGTTGTAGCAAAAATAATTGAATCCATAATAATTATACAATTTTGATGATGAAATAACACTTAGAAACCGATCGCTATTAACAATAACTTTCTGGAACAGAAAGGAAATATAATGCGTTGTAACGTTGGCCGCTATTATTAGTTTCCTGCTCGTCTAATCTTAACTCTGTAGTTTCACATGCACTTATGCAAAACGTATAGTTATTGGTCGACACTGTATATCTTCATTCTAGTTATTATTGAATAAACCATTTGACGAATACTTACTCCTTTTTTCCTGTACTGAATTTCGTGAGCGGTAACTGGTGATGACGATTCAACTTTCCAAGTCAACACAACATCTCTGTTAGCCTTATCTGGTTTAATAAACTCTCGTACAACGGGAACTTTGACTAAATTGATCTGTTTTTCACTCTTGCCCAAACTGTTTCTTGCCAAGCAAGTGTACGTGGTGAAATCTTCGTCTGACAAGTCGGTGATGAGAAGTATGCTTTCGAATTCTGGCTTTTCGAGTTTCTTGTTAAGAGTTATTTTGCTTTTGCCCTGGTTGACGATGATTTCATCTCCTTTTTTCCATACGATTTGGGGCTGTGGGAAGGCATCAACGGTGCAAATTAGTTCCGCATCTTTTTCTTTGTCTGATGTCACTATGTACTCTTTTACTGATAATTTGGGTAAATCTAGAAAGAGAAATATTTATTAGATATAGTAGGGAAGATGTATTTCTAATAGTGAAACATATGCCTCGGAAAAAATAGTAGATGAGGTTAACCTGCATGAACAGATAGTGCAAGCTAAAACCATTGGCATAATCAGACAAATTATCAATAATAATTCCTCAAGCAGCTGGCTAAGCCATTGAAGCTACAAATGAGACAAAAATAAGCTAGAAGATTCAATTACGATTACTAGTAACTAAAATAACTGGAAACTTGTTACTAGTTTTTATACAGTGCTCACTCCTTTAAGATGATTCAAAAACATGTAAAGTAGAGAGGATAATCTTGTTCCCAAAATGTCTGAAGACCAAGACAACGAATGAGTAATATATAATTTTAGAGAATACAACGCATGGAAACTTTGAACTCTGAAACGATGATATTAAGATGTACAATTTTGAACATAAGGAGCCATTTATGGGAAAATTCAGAAAAGCAAAACGTCAAAAAGGACTAAGATAATTTTGAACAAGATTTTCCAAGAAGTGAAAAGTGGATCTGGTTGAATTCTCTTTTAAATAATTGATACTTTCTACAAAATTTTACTTTTAATATATTTTTATTAAACAAAAATAATACTTACGCTCTACTTGGATATAAATATGATGATGGCTAGGTTTATGAACTTGATTATCGGCTAAGCACCTATACCTTCCATCATTATCTGCAGTTACATTTGTAATTGTTAGAGTCTCTCCTGTAATGGCTAATCTTTCGCTTCCTTTGTGCCATGATATGGTCGGTTTTGGATATCCTGTTGCTACGCAGGTCAGCGACAGAGTTTCGCCTGATTTGTACTGGAAAGAGAGATCTGTTAATTCCAATAATAAAAATATGGATTTATTTAAACGTATTTTCACCTAAATTGAAAATTTCTTTGCAATTGCCAAAGATTAAGTAACACGAATTGTTTGCATTAATAAAAATATTGACTTAAATATGTACCATAGAGAGATTTTCCGCAGATGTATGTTATTGGACTATATGATAAGGCACATCAAGGCCAACAATTGAGTTTTTGTTGGAATTACTCGATATGGGTTGGAAATATCCGGTACCCGGTTAAGAAAAATAAATATTTTCCAGAAGTCATTTTACATTGAGAGCAAAGATAAATTATCTATATATCAACTCTATGATCTCTCTAGTCTTCATAATCAACTCTTTACGTGTATGGCGACCGTGATAACAACAGTTCGAGATGGATAATTTAAAGATTCAACGTAAAATGTCACAAAAACATGTGAGGTATTAGACCTAGAGCACTAGCAAATAAAGTAATCAAGAATGAAGAATTGCCAGCCTTGTTAAGAAATTTAGAAGCTAAAACTAATGTATTTTTATTATAGATGAAAGTGTTTAACAAGGCCTATTTCTAGAAAAGGCATCAAAACAAGATTTATGAGAGAAATTTGTAGAAGCAGAGATGTTCAAAGATGAACTAATATAAAGTAGAATGAGACTTAGTTATTCAAGCTGGAGATCCAGTTGAAGAATCAAGCACGAAAGCCACGGGTAGGATGAAATGCAGAAAACATTTTATTTTACCAAAGATCGAATTAAAAAAGTTGTTGAAAAATGTCAGCAACTGGATAGTTTTGGATGACAGGTGTCAGTATTTACTTCAAGTGACAGACAAGGGTTCATCTTCAAGGTCATAAGTTGAAAATTATTTACCATCAGGCTCCAACTATCAAAAGGCACTTGACCAAACGAAAGCACGTTTCGCTACGGATGAACTTTAAATATCTATAAATGCTAGAGGTACTGAAAAACAATGTCAGACTGATGTAGCGGTGAGGATTTTACTCAAATGATAGTATAACACGATATAAAAAATAAATATTGCACCTGCCTAAATTAATTTAAGAAACTAAATAGTTATGTCTATGTTAGGTATGTACCTATATCATGAAGACTAAATTAAATATTTACCGATATTAGTACCTTGGAGGTAAACTGAAATATGTCGAAATAGGTTATATATTTAAAATTAACTCATCGATACCTTTTCAGGGGTTACTATACCATGGTATTAGTGACGTCACAATAAAAGTTACCCAAAAAAATATAACACTCTGTTCAATAAACTTAAGAGTTAAACAACACCATGTGCACATAATGTTTTTAACTTTCATGTTAGTCTTATTATTTCATAGAGGCATGTTGGAGGCATGATACAAAAAATTACAGAGGTGAGTTTTCCCATGACGTATTGTGGTGTGGAAAATGTCTGATTGGCCATGAGAAGATTAAAATTTTATTTCGCGCGCTATTTTCGATCAGCTGATACCTTAAATTTGTAAAAAGGCACCCTTCACACCACAATACATCACTCTGACGCAGTATTAATCTGCGTAATATCATACCTAAGTGTTGGAGATATATGACACTATGTCATAGAACATGTGTTATCAGAACATATAAATATGTTACAAAAATCAACAATTTAGGTATATTAAAAAAAAGTTTTATTAGTTATATTATTAGTAATCAATACATATTGTGACAATAATTGTGGTTAACTGCATTTCTTGTCGAAATATAATTAATATATTTAAATAACTGTTTGAAAATACCCTGTAACTTTTTTTCCTAAACAAAATACAAAACTGTCAAATAGGTCACGGGATATCGACCAAAACTTCTAAATGTGAATACGATGAAATAGACCGTCAGATAGTGACCGATTTAGGTGCCCCATTTTCGCACACAAGCCTCGAAGAGGGTTGAAAAGTACATCGATGTTGACTAAAATATAAAGTAATTTACGAGTGGCTCTTGTGGATAATCCATGGAAAATTCGATTTTCCTTAACAGAAATATTTTCCTACCTCAAAATGCCCTTTTCTATTCGGGTCATTCAAGTCAATATTTTTACAGGCTAGTGACGATGTTAATTTTCAAACATTCGATGGACTTATCTCGAAAAATCGATTAAATCTCGATTTTTCCTTAGAAGATAACGCCCTTATTTCAACCATTTAGCCACTTGCAACATTAAAGCCTTTGGTTTTTCGAAGCCTAGTTGTATTATTTAATCATTTAGTGAACACGGATTGCGTGAAAATATGGCCAAAAAATAACTTTAATTATTCTTAAGAAAAATCGAATTTTTCATATGTCATCCCCAGGAGCCACTTGTAAATTTCCTATCATTCTACTCAAATCCATGTACTTTTCAACCCTCTTCGAGACTTGTATGCGGAAATGGGGCACTTAAACCTGTCACTATCTGAGTTTTGGAATTACTATTACAACAGGCGCAGACAGTTAAAAATGTACATTTTTACATTGTAGTCTTTCACACTCTGTAAAACACTGAATAGTGTCTTTTTACTAACGGTCACATCAAGCTGGTAATACAAAAAATAATGAAATCTTAAAATGTTTTTAAAAATCGGCTGAGGCGTTTCCGAGATAGTCTCCTACAAATGAAGATGAAATTATTCTGTGAGCAGTTTATTTGTTTCAGTAAAAAGTCTAGGTCCAGTTTTGAGCTGTATATAAAATAACAGTGTCATCTGCAAAGCAAATGATATGACCAATAGATTGCAAAGATATATAAATATTAAAAAGGATAGATTCTAGAACGCTACACTGTGAAACACAATATGGTAAGACGATCCTAAACACATTTCTGCACAGATTGCGTCCTATTATTTAAGTAACTACTAAATAGATCTAAACAACTACCATTAATACCAATGTTTCAAAGTTTGTATGAGTAATGAATGATTTACAGTGTCAAAAGCCTTTGAAAGATTAAGGAAAACACCCAATCAAGCCTTACTAGAATCCAAAGCTACCCGGGACAAAACGTGGTAAAGGGTAACGAGATTGCAGATAGTCTCGCAAGAAAAGGGGCTCATACACCCTTTGTGGGACCTGAGCCGTTCTGCAGTATCAGCAGGAGAGATTTTAAAGAATTGGTCAGTAGAAGAACCGATAATTGGAACAATCTCTTGGGGCTAAGACATGATAACATACTTCTGGGTAAATATAAAGAAAAGATCAGAAATCTGTATCTGCCTGAGCAAGAACAGGCTACGTATTGTAACAACAGGGATTCTTACTGGGTATTGCCGACTCAAAGGACTCCTCAGTAAACTGTTAGACGATAGTGAGTGCAGATTCTGTGACGAGGAGGACGAAACGTCCATTCACATTCTGACTGAACGTGTAGTATTCCAGAATCCAAGGGCACCATACCTAGGAGTATATCAACTCCAAATCCTACACTTCCTTGAGACAGTAGGATTGGAAGGGTCGTTTATAGGCATCGAGACATTTCCTTGCTGCATTAGCGACAGAAGGAGACACAATGGATCTTTTGGGTCGCAGTGTATTAATATCCCATTTCGAATATAATATAACATCCATAGCTAAATGTATTTTCTCGGTTAATAATAGTATCGCATCTTCAGTTGAAACATTTTTCTTGAAACCAAATTGATTTTTTGCACTGATAGATGATAACAAAAATAAAATTATAATGCAGTTGGCTAATTTCACGCTTAATCGAAATAAATTATAAATATATAAAAAACGATTGCTCATTGAGTTTTAATTCGCATCAATTCTTAACATGCTGACCATAAACTGAGCCGCCGTCTAATCTCTATCAACTTTTTTTTATCTAAATTGTCAATTAAGGCTAGTCGAAAGCGCGCGTTTCTACCAAAGAGGCTTTAACTAACGATAAAATTATCGTAATTCGACGTATGTCGATTGAATCGGAAAAGCGGCCTGCTTTCTAGCGGCTAATTAAGACCTTTTTGACTTTGTTTCGTTCTTTACTTCGATGGAAACGAAACGGCCGCGTACTCGTGTTACTATGACCATTGCGCAATGAATCTAGACCAACGTCGAGCGGTACTTCTTGGTTCTTGTAAGAGCAACAAAAAAATCTTGTCGTTAGGTTAGTGGCGGGTCACACGGGTACTATTCTCGTATATTCTAGTACTATTAAATCACAAGGTACATGGTTTACATATTGTTGAGGTTGTGGTCACGATGGATGACAATTATTATAGGTGTTTCAACTCTCTTAAAAATATGGTACTAATTTGTACTAAAAAATGCACCAGAGGTCGTTAAAAAATTAAATTTAAAATAAATAATGAAGATGAACTGTCAGAAATATTTAGTTTATTTTAGTTTTTATCGTGTGAAAAATACGTCTACATCCAATTTTTTTTAACAATAATGTTAAAAAAGAAGGAACAATAAAAAATATGTTTTTTTTTTGGAATTTTAGTTTTTGATCTAATTATATTCCTATCAAAAGTTCAAAGTAGCGAATAATGAAATAAAAAATAGTGTGCATTCTTTCTACAAACTTGGAATCGTTGTTCAAATGGACATTGAAAAAGTAATTTGACATTTTGAAGATATATTTACAGGATAGGTATTAATAAAAAAACATCTGCAACGTTATACATAATTAATAAACACATTCCAACGATAAATTCTTATTTATTACCATTCCTAAACAATTCTTTATATCAACAGGCCACTGCACCTCTGAAGTGATTGTAGTCCAGGACTCGATCCCGGCAGGAAACAACAATAAAGCTGCTTTGCTTACTTCCCAGGAGACGCAGGTCAAGATCAACCACCTCCTACCTCCTCCAGCAATAAATGCGAGAACTAGTTGCAAGAGGAATAACAAACAGCTCGTTATTGGGTGCGACGCTAATATTCCCGTAGGGACTGTGGAAGTACCGACATCAATGTGAACTATATATTATATAATCGGTGAAGGGCTTATTGTTAAAAAGGTAGGTTCGGAACC